AATGACCATGTGAATGAGGCCTAAAGATACTACTGAGTGGAGGGAACATTTGCTGGTCTATAGCCATGAATGACCATGTGAATGAGGCCTAAAGATACTACTGAGTGGAGGGAACATTTGCTGGTCTATAGCCATGAATGACCATGTGAATGAGGCCTAAAGATACTACTGAGTGGAGGGAACATTTGCTGGTCTATAGCCATGAATGACCATGTGAATGAGGCCTAAAGATACTACTGAGTGGAGGGAACATTTGCTGGTCTATAGCCATGAATGACCATGTGAATGAGGCCTAAAGATACTACTGAGTGGAGGGAACATTTGCTGGTCTATAGCCATGAATGACCATGTGAATGAGGCCTAAAGATACTACTGAGTGGAGGGAACATTTGCTGGTCTATAGCCATGAATGACCATGTGAATGAGGCCTAAAGATACTACTGAGTGGAGGGAACATTTGCTGGTCTATAGCCATGAATGACCATGTGAATGAGGCCTAAAGATACTACTGAGTGGAGGGAACATTTGCTGGTCTATAGCCATGAATGACCATGTGAATGAGGCCTAAAGATACTACTGAGTGGAGGGAACATTTGCTGGTCTATAGCCATGAATGACCATGTGAATGAGGCCTAAAGATACTACTGAGTGGAGGGAACATTTGCTGGTCTATAGCCATGAATGACCATGTGAATGAGGCCTAAAGATACTACTGAGTGGAGGGAACATTTGCTGGTCTATAGCCATGAATGACCATGTGAATGAGGCCTAAAGATACTACTGAGTGGAGGGAACATTTGCTGGTCTATAGCCATGAATGACCATGTGAATGAGGCCTAAAGATACTACTTAGTGGAGGGAACATTTGCTGGTCTACAGCAATGAATGACCATGTGAATGAGGCCTAAAGATACTACTGAGTGGAGGGAACATTTGCTGGTCTACAGCCATGAATGACCACATGAATGAGTCCCAAAGATACTACTGAGTGGAGGGAACATTTGCTGGTCTACAGCCATGAATGACCACATGAATGAGTCCCAAAGATACTACTGAGTGGAGGGAACATTTGCTGGTCTACAGCCATGAATGACCACATGAATGAGTCCCAAAGATACTACTGAGTGGAGGGAACATTTGCTGGTCTACAGCCATGAATGACCACATGAATGAGTCCCAAAGATACTACTGAGTGGAGGGAACATTTGCTGGTCTACAGCCATGAATGACCACATGAATGAGTCCCAAAGATACTACTGAGTGGAGGGAACATTTGCTGGTCTACAGCCATGAATGACCACATGAATGAGTCCCAAAGATACTACTGAGTGGAGGGAACATTTGCTGGTCTACAGCCATGAATGACCACATGAATGAGTCCCAAAGATACTACTGAGTGGAGGGAACATTTGCTGGTCTACAGCCATGAATGACCACATGAATGAGTCCCAAAGATACTACTGAGTGGAGGGAACATTTGCTGGTCTACAGCCATGAATGACCACATGAATGAGTCCCAAAGATACTACTGAGTGGAGGGAACATTTGCTGGTCTACAGCCATGAATGACCACATGAATGAGTCCCAAAGATACTACTGAGTGGAGGGAACATTTGCTGGTCTACAGCCATGAATGACCACATGAATGAGTCCCAAAGATACTACTGAGTGGAGGGAACATTTGCTGGTCTACAGCCATGAATGACCACATGAATGAGTCCCAAAGATACTACTGAGTGGAGGGAACATTTGCTGGTCTACAGCCATGAATGACCACATGAATGAGTCCCAAAGATACTACTGAGTGGAGGGAACATTTGCTGGTCTACAGCCATGAATGACCACATGAATGAGTCCCAAAGATACTACTGAGTGGAGGGAACATTTGCTGGTCTACAGCCATGAATGACCACATGAATGAGTCCCAAAGATACTACTGAGTGGAGGGAACATTTGCTGGTCTACAGCCATGAATGACCACATGAATGAGTCCTAAATATACTACTTAGTGGAGGGAACATTTGCTGTTCTACAGCCATGAATGACCATGTGAATGAGGCCTAAAGATACTACTGAGTGGAGGGAACATTTGCTGGTCTACAGCCATGAATGACCATGTGAATAAGGCCTAAAGATACTACTGATTGGAGGGAACACTTGCTGGTCTACAGCCATGCATGATCATGTGAATGAGTCCTAAAGATACTACTGAGTGGAGGGAACATTTGCTGGTCTACAGCCATGAATGACCACATGAATGAGTCCTAAAGATACTACTGAGTGGAGGGAACACTTGCTGGTCTACAGCCATGCATGATCACGTGAATGAGTCCTAAAGATACTACTGAGTGGAGGGAACATTTGCTGGTCTACAGCCATGAATGACCACATGAATGAGTCCTAAAGATACTACTGAGTGGAGGGAACATTTGCTGGTCTACAGCCATGAATGACCATGTGAATGAGGCCTAAAGATACTACTGAGTGGAGGGAACATTTGCTGGTCTACAGCCATGAATGACCATGTAAATGAGTCCTAAAGATACTACTGAGTGGAGGGAACATTTGCTGGTCGACAGCCATGAATGACCATGTGAATGAGGCCTAAAGATACTACTGAATGGAGGGAATATTTGCTGCTGTTTTTGGTATCCTGCACCCTGTACTGTCTTGGCCAACTGAGCCAATAAAACACCCAAAAAAGTGAGTGGAAGTCTTTCTGTCTGCCATCATTGGGGGGGGCGGTGAGTGTCTGGTTGCAGCTACAAGACAAATCACCAATAGGAAGCCTAGGAGGGCCCATAACATGCAACAGATCCATTGGGGTAATTTTGCTACAGAAGTTAAAGCCATTCTGTACTGTCGTAATATTCAGACACCAGTGGAGACTTACGTTTTCCTCAGCCTGCCAAATCCTGTTGCTTAACATGGACCTTTGGTGCCTAAACTCTGAACGAATTAAATGATTATGCAAGCAGTATTGATCTTTCTCAACTGTACTGTGTTCTGTTTATATTAAGCGAGATAATATGGACAGAGCCAGTGTGTCACTTGAAGTGGAATAGCAAAGGGTCAGACCAAGCAGAAACTTCATTTAGCAGGTTTCATGATAACAGCTAAACCCTTCTACAAGAATTCAATGCCAGGCCAGCCCAAGCACATGGGCTTGACACGTGCTCATGGCAAAGTGTGTCTTGTACGCTCTTAGGGAGGGATGCACCGATACCGGTTTTTCGGTATCGAGTATGTGTACCGTTATTTTTTTCCCGGTACTCGCCGATGCCGAATACCGATACCGGAAGTCGCATTAAGGAAGCCAGGCATTAGACCTGATTAGACGGGAAGCCGGCTCCATGCTCACTCGTCACCAGGTGATGGGGAAGCATGGAGTCGGCTTTCTGGCCAATCAGGAAGCCGGGCAGTGAGTCATTACACGCTGTCCAGCTTCCTGATTGGTCGGGAAGCTGGCTCTATGCTTACAAAGGACCATGGAGCCGTTTTCCCGGCCAATCAGAAAGCAGGCAGGGGCAAGACATTACCTGCCCCCCAGCGTCCTGATTAGCTGGTAAGCCAGCTCCATGCTCCCTGTTGACAAGGGAGCATGGAGCCGGCTTCCTGGCCAATCAGAAACCGGGCGGAGTGTAAAGACTCGCCACCCAGCTTCCTGATACCAAAAGTTCTGGTACCGGAAAAAGGATTGGGAGCATTTGGGCGAGTACTCGCACTCGCCCAAATACTCGGTATCGGCACAGATACTAGTATCGCTATCGGTGCATCCCTACTCTTAGGGTTTACCTAAAGTCCATCTGTATATGTTTGTATAGTGCTGCTCAACTTCTAGTACTAAATAACGTTAACTATTACATAATGTGTTATTGCTAGCCCTTTTTTAATTTCTTTATTTGATTTATTTTATATATTCTTTAAGCAAATCTCTAATACAAAAAAAAAAAATCACAAATATTGCCTTGTCATCAGTAGTGATGGGCCGAACACACCCGAGTTCGGTTCGAGTTCGAACTTTAGAACATGAAAAAAGTTTGAACTCGAGCTTCGAACTCAATGAAAGTCTATAGGACCAGAACTCTGAAAATCAATTGACCTCATTTTGAAGGCTTATATGCAAGTTCTGTTATTTGCCACAAAAAGGGTATGGGGATTCGGGTACTGGCCTAGGGGGACATGTATCAATGAGAAAAACACTTTTAAAGAATACCGTTTTTAAAGGAGCAGTGATTTTAACATTGCTTAAAGTGAAACAATAAAAATGAAATATTCCTTTAAATATCGTGCCTGGGGCACCTAAACAGCCTGTAATTGGGTGGAGCTAGCGGTGACTGCTAGCTAGCTCCGCTGAACTGTTTACATTTGTCCGGCACCTGACAGGGCTTAGCTGTGTGAGCCATGATTGGGCAAAGTCATCATGACTTTGCCCAATCTTGGCTCTCCCAGTTCTCTGTGCTGTGATTGTCTTGCACCTGAACTGTGGTCAGGTCCATTGCTTTACCCAATCAGGGCTTCACAAGGCACTATGTGGTGCGCAGTGCCTTGTTGGGCGCTCGGCGGACGAACAGCCTGCTGAATGCCCTGACAGTTCGTGTGTTCGCCGAACACACGAACTACCGATGCTTGAGGCGGACTGTTGTTTGACTCGAACATCAAGCCCATCCTGACCACTGCAGACTGGGAACATCCCACCAGAGCTGCAATTTTTTGAGTTGCTCTGACCCAGTCATCTAGCCATCACAATTTGGCCCTTGTCAAAGTCACTCAAATCCATACACTTGCCCATTTTTGGCTCCTTCCGCCACATCAACTTCATGAACAAAATGTTCACTTGCTGCCTAATATATCCCACCCACTTCCAGGTGCCATTGTATTTAGATAATCAATGTTATTCACTTCACCTGTCAGTGGTCATAATGTTATGGCTGATCAATGTGTGTGTGTGTATATATATATATATATATATATATTTAATTGTCCCTCTTGTTTTCCAGGGTGGAGCTTTCTACTTTCTTGAACATGTGGCCTCAACAGACGAGTCCGGCTGGATAAGTTTTTTTCAGAAGGTCCTGAATCCTACCTGGAAGCTGATTTTTGATGGCTGCAGCATACGAAGGACCACATGGAAGGACCTGGAAGATGCCAAATTCTCAGAGTTGAACCTGCGCCATATATATGCACCTACGCCTATGAAACTTATTAACCCTCATATTATTGGATACGCTGTCAAATAAATTCATAAACTGCACATTGTAATGGAGTATTAGGCAGGTTCTCCTATTTGTAAAACCGATCCGCATGAATAAATGTCTACATGTCTACATCTACTGATGTGTTTTACTTGCTTTGTAGTTCTGATTGAAGTCAGGTAAGAGGGCTGAGAAGGGATATGCAGCAACTAGGTAAAAAAATAGCCACTTCTTTCAGGCGCATTTACATTTTCACATTTCAGAAATGCACGGACCATCATGTATGGTTTTAGGGACTTTCACCTGTTTTAACTGGCTGTGGTACATTTTAACATGCATTGCCATGCTGTTTTGCTTGGGCTTCAACATGGCAAAATAAATGGTAAAACAAGCTGCTATGCACAAAAATGCATGCCAGTGTATAACCAACTATGTGCCTTTCAAAACTCTACACTGAATGAGTCATTCACGAAAAGGATAGAGTGAGGAAGGGATAAAACCCCTGGCATGTTTTCACTGGAATATGATTGCCTATTGGGGAGATTTCCTCACATTCTGTTGGGACAGATGGAGGCACATAATGCAACAAAACACATTTTTTTCAATAAAACCTTGTCAGCCTATTATTACTGTCTGTGACTTCCTGCCCCAACCACTGATGGGGAAGAGGTCCTAACCCAGTCTATCCAAAACGAAAAAATAGTTTTGGTTTAAAGTTGGCCTGTTATATAATTTAATATAAAGGGTTGTTGTTTTTATGAAACAGCACTGGAGTTTGGTTAGGTGGTCACATACCTCCCAACTGTCCCTCATTTGGAACCAAATCGCTCTGTCCCTCTTTCCTCCTCAGCTATCCATCTTTTTGGTCTGATGTACAGATGTTCTGGTTAAGAAGAACTCAGGGCAGAACTGCAGGAGTTACATGCTTTTGTCCAGTGTGCAAAATAAAAAAGATATACTCACCCGATCCTCGGTCCCACGGTGATGACCATTCACCTTTCTTCTTTAACTACCAAAAGTGTTGCCTAAATACATTGAGCTACAAGAAGTCCCTTTTCTCATCTCAGAAAGTTGGGAGGGATGTGTTCAGTGTAATGCAAACAGTGTTTAGTGCAGGTACTACTTCATGTGGAGCAAAAAATCAATACGTCTTTGAGAACTCTCATTTGTGTCACATTCTGCTAAAGGGCAAAGGGAAACAACCATGGATTACAGTAAGGCGCACATTACAGTATTGTTTTAAAAAATCTGAGGGTTTAATAGGGCCGCAAAAGTACTTGCCATAATATGTAACTATGCATATGGCAAAACATATACCTCTAGTACAGATTTCATAAAAGATGCTCAGCTGGAGCCGAAACTTCTAATTGAATATCAAATCCAAATAGGCTACATTCCATGTTCAGTGACTGCCACCCAATCATCACACAAAAGGGTTTTCATAGACTCATTATGGCTACATACACAGATTGGTCACATAGCACTCTTTTAATTCCCCTCAATCTGCTTCTTGGCCTCGCATACCACTACTCTCCTCCCTTTGTCATTCTCCACCAATACAACATCTCTCATTGCCTCCTGGAAACAGCATCATCCTCTGTTTTACCAGCTTGGGTCCCTTTTGGGGGATAAATCATGTTGAACATTTACAAGTACCAATTTTGTGTATGATATTTTAATAAATGGGTTTAAACTAAATAGATTTATTTACATACAACTCTGTGGAGGTGGACAGAAGAACTGGTGGCAGATGAAAGAGGTTGGCACTGATATCTGACTTTGCTAGCAGGCAAAAGGAGATTGGGTGTCCACGGAGAGCAACAGTGGGAGCAGAGTGGTGGTATGGGAAGCCAAGAAGTTAGTTAAAGCAGTTTACCAATCCTTAGTCAGGTGGTTGTATTTGTTTTCCTTTTCCTTTAGTTTCACCTTGTGATCCTGCCAGTAAAAAAAAATTTCCGTAACTGCTTATAAAGTGTTAACCTTGAGTTCGGCTTCCATTTGTAGTCAAGTCAATTTAAATCTGCTAGCCCATGTAAGGCTGGCCATACACCTATATATTTTTTTCGTTTAACCCGTGGGCTGGCCGAAAAAAAAATCTCCAACACAAACAGCGTGTCGATCGAGGAATCACCGCTGTTTATATTGTATTCTAACAGATGCTGCCTGTCAGAATCCCCGATCAGAGCGGGCAGCTCATTGGCTGCCGGCTCTGATCATACGAAGATTTTCCAGCAGGCTCCTTCGATCAGCTGATTGAGGAATGCCGACTGAAAGGGAGCCAACAGCCCCACACACTGTGTAAATTTTGGCCGGTACATTAAAAACCGACCGAAATTTGGCCAGAGTATGGGCACCTTAACATGACCCTCTCCACAGGTTAACAATGCTGCTGTCCAAGGGTGGCTCTGTTGCTCCTCCGTAGACTGGAGCCACCCTAAGACAGCAAGTGAGTTGCTGGCTAGATCACCATGTGAAAGTAAAGGGGAAGAAAAAAGAAGTGAAAACTAATGCAGGATTGGTAACCACCTGCAATATATAACATCTTAGTTTTGTGGTTTAGATACACTTTCAAGATTCTTGAATGAGGAAAATTGCCTTCTCCTGTGATGACAACTCTGCAAACTGCATTACAGCCACTGACATCTTTTCTGATGCTCTGCACTCGGGACATTTCCTTTCAGCCATTGGGTGACCAGTGATGATGCAACTACTGTACCAGCATGATGGAATTGCATTATTATAGCACTTGGCTTAAGTCTTTGGCATCTTATAGGTACCAAAAGTGTTTACTGCACTGAGCACTCGCCACAAGCAGAATACAATAAAAAAAAAGGAAAAAGGAGCGTTTGGTCAGAAGATCCATATAAAGTTTCTTCTATCAAAAACTCTGGCTACTACGGTAGTATTTTTTGCAACTTCCTCTTTAAAGAATAGTAAACAGCTTCCAAATGATTGTATTGTTAGGCAGCCTTGACAGTGGAGTAAAGTTTGAATCATGATATCTGTACAGGTGAAACTTGAATAATTAGAATATCGTGCAAAGTTCATTTATTTCACTAATGCAACTTAAAAGGTGAAACTAATATATGAGATAGACTCATTACATGCAAAGCAAGATAATTCAAGCCGTGATTTGTCATGATTGTGATGATTATGGCTTACAGCTCATGAAAACCCCAAGAACCCCAAATACACAACCTCAAAAAAGTAGATTATTACATGCAATCAATAAAACAAGGATTGTACATAGAACAATATCGGACCTCTGAAAGTACAAGCATGCATATGTACTCAGTACTTGGTTTGGGCCCCTTTTGCAGCACTTACTGCAATTACTTTTGCACGATATTCTAATTATTCGAGTTTCACCTGTATATACAATTTTTTACAGAAGGGAGGGGATCATATACCTATGACCTGCTTGGAATGCATCATAATACCTGACTCACGCTGACTCTGTGTAAATACTGGTTTACACTATCACTCCCTCCCACCTCACATTTTTCCATTTTCCATTTAACAGGGACAATTTAGCAGAACAACTGCTTGTGTGTCTATATCCTGACAGTGTAGAGGTAGTGTGGCGGAGTGCAGCTTCACTCAGAGACAGGTGTTGGCCCCTCTAACGCAGTTTCCCACAATCATTTGGGTTCCCGCAATCCTCTTGGTTCCCACAATTTTCTGCACACCCACCATGCCCTGTGCTCCTGGACACGCTCAGGGGATATAAATTCCAGCTCTGAAGAAGGGTAAAAGGCATATGGACCAGCTGGAAACATTTTTGTTTCGCCACATGCCTTAAGGCACTGGCAGGAAAATGGTTAAACTTTTTCATTCCAGGGCCCAAGTAAGAAAATTGTTATAATTTTTGTCCCTAGCAGCCCATCTTCAAATTGCACCTTGGCTCATACATATCAATCTTGTTTTTTTATTATTAGTATTTATATAGCACTGACAGTTTACATATACTGCACATTCACATCCGTTCCTGCCCCTGAGGAGCTTACAAACTAAGATTAAGACTAAGAAGTAAAAGTGCTAACCACCAAGCCACTGGGAGCAAGATAAGTCTTTAATAAAACAGGCAGTACTAAGGGAGGAGTGGACCATAATATACAGTGCAGGTTTACTAAGTAAACTTGGGAACAAGCAGGCAGCAGCAAGTCAGAACTCCTGATCTGCATACTTGTACCTGGATTAGTGAGTCAGAAAAATGTGCAAGCCTTTAGATCAGCATTAGTGCCAGGAAGTTAACATCAGAAGCAGAGGTCAGCAATTGCAGCCACACAGTTCCCTCAGCACGCAATTATTTTAAAGCACTTGTCGCATATAAGTTTTAACAAGGGTCCCATAAAAACATTCCGTGCCTTAGATTTAATGCTATTCCTCGATGCAAACAAGTTTATCCTCTCTCATAAAGGAAATATTTGAGTCAGGTGACACTCACAGTTCTAGTATTATATGCTGACATTTTCTTAGAGGAAACCTGTACTGATTAGGGATGCACCGAAATGGAACATTAAAAAATTGTCAGGCCGAAACCGAATTCAAAAATGGCGTTTTTTTTACAACCATTTAAACATTTTTTTATTTTATTTGTATTTATTTTTTCACTTTACTGTTGGGGGCTCGAGAGAAATATAAAAGATCTAAACAGACCCCTGATATTTCCTTTTTAAAATAGAAAAAGAAATGGAGGACACAGAGTCTGCAGCCCCTGTTATGAATGAACAGGAAGCCTCTATACTGAGTGTTCCTACATTGTGGATATAGTGTCATTTACTATGTCCACAATCATGAATGAACAGGAAGTGATGTGTAGAGCACTTCCCATTCATTCATAACTGGGACATAGTAAGCACACTATGTCCAGTTATTTACAAACACTCAGCCAACAGCTGATCCCTGGGAGATCCCTGAGATCAGCTGTCACAGCCCCGGAGTGCCAACACACCACTAGATGATAGATGGGCCTGCATCATTTTTTTTTTCAGTGCAGTACTCCACAATGCATAGATGGTTTACATTAGTGAGCTGCTGTGGGAAATGCACATTTGCCATGCTGCGCTGGCAAAATGCATTGGGGTCCCATTAGAAATGAATGAGACCACAGTTTTGTGTGTCACTGTGCATTGCAGTAGCATTCGGTAAAATGCGTGCTTTACCATAATGCACAGATGTGAAAGCTGTCATTCCTGATGTCACCTGTAACATGTTATGGAATATCAGTCAGGTATACATATTCCCAAATAAGCTGATTCATAGTCTATGTATAGCTGAGGGTCAAACTGGCCTCAGAACCAATCTAATCTATATCTGTGGTGAGAACATTCACTCATCCACCCTATTGCAATTTCTGATAAGAACAATTCACATAACTTGCAAAAAGGTGTAAGGGAGGGAATCCCTCTTTGTATAACACAAAATAGAGATAATTATACAAAATGGAACCCTGGGGCCTACATTTTCATCACAAACAATAAGAGGGGGAAATCTCTTTAAAGCTCACCACACACATTGCAATCTTACTGTATCATTTTCTTTAAATCTACCAACAACTATGTAGTGTAAGGGCCGGCCTGATTGGATACAAATTGATAGGATAGACTAGGTAGGTCCAAGGCTGTCGTTTAAATGAGGCAGCTTGAGGATGTTGCCTCAGGCGGCATCTCTTTGGATCTCATAGGGGGGTGACAGGCAGAGTGGCATCGCATCGCACAATGTTTGCTGTGTGCCTGTCGCCCTCTTTCTGGCCAGAGCGTCCCAGGGCCATACACATCTCCCCACCCAGTTCTTAGCAATTTGGGACACTCTGGCTGGCATCTTGCCAAACTCCTGGCAACTGGTTGCCAGGAGTTGGGTGGGATGCCGACCAGAGCGTTTCATGCTCCTGCACCCCCCTGCCAGCTAGAAGTTCTCCCCCACCCGCCTCAGGCAACAAAAAACCTAGGGATGCCACTGGGTAGGTCCTCATATTACATAGTTTTGGTAGATCTAAAGTTGATAGTGCAAAGATTGCATGATCAGATTGTAGTGAGCCTAAAGGCTGATTCAGGCTTAAAGCCAAACTGCAGCTGCCAATACTTACTTCCCCTCCAGCGAAGCAACATCCACAAGCTCCCCCACTGGCTGCAACATTCCTATCTGATCTTTTTCCTGGATTGAGGTCTTTGGCCATTTTGATTGGCGGGCCCAGAATGACACACATGCACATGGGAGTTAATTCATCCCGACATTGACGCATGTTGTGAATCTACACATAGGCGCTATTAACACATGGCTTTAGGCTACGGCTGGGGATTCCTGCGGCAAGAACCTACATTTTCTTGCATGTGGGAATCCCAGGTGTGTCCGTACAGATGTGGCCGCGGTGCCCGTTCAGGTTAATGACAGGCTGACAGTGTCCGCAACTGTCAGTGGTTGTCTATACAAAATCATTCATGGAACAATTACGTCCAGGCACAATCATCTATCCCGGACCGCAGGTAATCGTTCCATGTGGACAACCACTGACATTTGCGACCACGGTGAGCAGGGCCGGATTTCCCACAAGGCCACCGAGGCAGGGAGTAGAGGGGGAGTAGAGGGGCGGCACAGTTGCCTGGCGGGTAGTGTTTTTCCACTTTTCGCGCTGCTTCGTGTAAGCAGGGCTAAATGTAGAGCGGGGAAGCAGCCACTCGCTTTGTACAAGTGATCCCGGCACAATGCTCCTGTAATGGAGGTGGCAGGTTTAATAAAGAGAACCTGTCACCTCCAAATGCTATCGCACAAGGGCTTGTCAGCTCCTGTGTGATAGCAATAAAGTGAAGAAAAAAAATTAAAAGTAAAAAAAGTGATAAAAAAGTAAAAAAAAAAAGAAAGAAAAAATAAATAAAAACAACCCTGCCGTCCCCCCCATCTGGTTGCCATTTTTCCTTGGGGGGAGTTTGGCGGAAAGGGAGGTGCATTGAAGAACTTGGTCTTGGGGCAGCAATTCTGAATTGAGAAAGCCGGTTGGATGACCTGTGAAACGTCTTCAAGAAAATTACAGCAAGTCCAGTTGCCTTGACTTATTTTTTACAGATATACCCAGGGGCGTAACTAGAAATCCCAGGGCTTCGGGGAAATATTAGGGGGTCTAAACAGACCCCTGACATTTCCCTTTTGAAATAGAAAAAGGCATTGAGGACACAGAGTCCTCAATGTCTTTTTCTGCAGCCTCAGCACTCAATGAATGGGAAGCACTCAGTACAGAGGATTCCCATTCATTCACAAACTGCTGATAGTAAGATATTTACTATCAAGCAGATTCTCAATGGGGAAAAGCCTCTGTACTGAGTGCTTCTCCCCATTGAGAAATTCATGAATGAACAGGAGGTGATGTAAATCACCGCCTGTTCATTCATAACTGGGGACACAAAGTACTATGTGTCCCCAGTTATTTACAAACACCGGAGTGATCAGACAATCGCTCCAGTGTTTGTGCTGCACACGGAGGATCGGTACATATCAATGATACTCCGATCCTCCGCTCGGCCACGCACACAGCCGCTGTCATCCTGAAACTGACAGGAGGTCAGCGGATCCGCTCTCCTATCGATCACGATTATCGAGCGGCAGGCGGGGAGGAGAGCAGAGCCGCTGTCCTCCTGTCAGTTTCAGGACGGCAGCGGCTCTTCCGCCGTTCATTTTTTTTCGGATCCCCGCTGCCTCAGACCATTCAAGCGGGGGAGAGCAGCGGGGATCCGGCCCCCCCAGTGCCGCGGGCCCCATAGCGACCGCATCGGTCGCTATGGTGGTAGTTCTGCCACTGGATATACCATTACCTGGATGAATGAGAACCTTCGCAGACATATGGCTTTTAAGGGTTCATGATGAAGGGCGTCCTAGCCAAACGCTGAGTTTTTCATTCACACTAATGCAGCTTCGTTCAACAAGAAAAGGCTGCAATTGTCCTGCTTTGCCTGCGGTTTAAATGCACCTAAAAAGGACATGCTGCATCCAAGGGAACGCAGTGCAATGCAAAGCAGGTCAGGCGCAGCCTCTGGACTGTCATGTGTACTGTTCAATTACAGTGACTAGAATAGAATAAATCTCAGAGCTGCAAAGACCCCTAATGGCATTGGATTCATTAATGAGACGTACATGTCTGCACGTCCCTAAAATTAACATTTATAGATATCACATGATCACATACTTCAGCTTTTTCAGACGTGCACACGTGACCTTTGAACACCCTTTCCTGTATAAAGGTTAATGTTACAATGTAACCGCTTAGCAGAGGAAGAAGTAATTAGCGCCCAGAGGAAGAAGTAGACACGCTCCCTCCTTGCTCGTTTCACGTTTTCTCTCATTGCTGAGCCAGCAATGAGCTTTTTCTCACTGCCCATCAGAAGTGACAATAGGCCCGCCCCCCGGACGGACACGCACCTCTTGGCTGAACTGTCACCCAGCAGCAGTGACAATAGGCCCGCCCCCCGTACGGACACGCACCTCCTGGCTGAGCTCTCACCCATCAGAAGTGACAATAGGCCCGCCCCCCGTACGGACACGCACCTCCTGGCTGAGCTCTCACCCAGCAGCAGTGACAATAGGCCCGCCCCCCGCCACGGACATGCCTCCTGGCTCAGCTGACACAGAGACTGCTCTTCATCGTTGGCTGCACTTCTGACAATGGCAGTGCACATTGTATTCTTCCAGCTATGTGTAGCTCTCATAGCACTGCCCATACACATCCTGGCCTTGCTGGGCCTGTGGGATCCCATAGCTAAGAAAGTGCTGCCTTACCTCCTGAACAGAGTGACCAAGAACTATAACAAATACATGAAAGATCACAAGAAGGAACTGTTCAGCAACCTGAATGAGTTCAGGGGCCCCTCTGTGGAGCTCAGAGTCCTGGAGCTGGGCTGTGGCACTGGAGCCAACTTTCAGTTCTATCCAGAAGGATGTCAAGTCACCTGTGTAGATCCTAACCCTAACTTCAAGAAGTTCCTGAGCGCCAGCCTGGCGGAGAGCCAGCATGTCCAGTTCCAGGCCTTTGTGGTGGCCCCAGGGGAGAGCATGACCCAGATCCAGAGTGGCTCCATGGACGTGGTGATCTGCACACTGGTCCTGTGCTCTGTAGACAATGTGGAAGACATTCTGGCGGAAGCTCATCGGGTGCTGAGACCTGTGAGTGTAATTCTGTGACATGTACATTAGATGTTCAGTAATGACTACAGGGAATGATCGCAGTGATGCGTGACCAATCACAGATGTAGTGGGAAGAACAGTGTTCTATCGAAAGTTCCAACTTGTTGACCTCTCCAACTTGTGATGTCACATTGGGTGACTGCGAGTAGGAGATGTACAGCAGATGGTGCTAGTGCGCATGCCCAGGAAATCCTTGTCGAACTGTCTTAACTATTGCCACAGCGCCTGCGTGGCTATCCACTTCTATAACCCACTACAGTTATATTTGTCCTAGGTTATAGAAGCCGATAGCCGCGCAGGCGCAGTGGCTATTGCCTCATCGGATTCTATGACCTAGCCAAAGGTTATATTATGTTACAGCACCTGCGCGGCCACATGATTCTTTCAACCACCACAGTTGCCACTGCGTCTGCGCTGCTATCGGCTTCTATAACCTAGCACAAATATAAGTTTGTCCTAGGTTATAGAACCCGATGAGCCGCTAGGCGCTGCGGCAATAGTTAGACAGTTCAACAAGGATTACCCCCCTTGAACATTTTGTACTTGTACCCCTACTCATTCACTAAAGGGTTAAAAGAAAATAAATAGATCACACATTTGAAAAAATCCTTTAATTGGAAAAAAAAAACCAAAAACTTGCCAAAGTAAAAGAAAAGTCCCGCCGCACGCCAACCTGTCCGAACCCAATGTAGACTCGCTGCAAAATGACATCTCTGACCCGAATGTAAACAAATGGGTGGGGCGAGCTGTGACGTCACAGGGCTTGTTCCGCCCATTTGACATTCTCAGCTGTCATAGAACACAATAGCATTCGGGCCATTTAGGTCTGTGGGCCGAGGTGCCATAATACTATTCATGTATCATCATGTATTTGATTTGTAAACTACTTCTATTTAAACTCTTGAATAAAGCATCTGCCACCAGCTGCGGCTTGATGAAGAGGAAGGTGGAGACTATTGTTTCCTGCTGGACCATTTAATAAGCCGACACCTAGATGTATATTATCCTGTGAAGGTGCCCACACACCTTGCGATTATCCTACGATAATTGTGGGAAATCCCGCGGTCGTACGATAATCGCAAGGTGTGTGGAAGGCGTGCGACCGTTTCTACTGTACGGTCGCACGACTTTTGTCTTACGAACATGTTCGAAAACCAGCCGATTTTTTAATGACCTTACAACCATCGCAAGACAAAAGTCTTGCGAAGGTTGTAACGGTGTGTGGCCAGCCTTACGGTTAAAGATGAAACTCTGGGTTGATAGAAAACTTACCCTTCCAGTGGAGCTTTCCCAGCACTGCAAGGGTTGAGTGCTCATTTTGTCTGGGGGGGGAAGCTGTTTAACTTACCTGATCCTCAGTCCCTTGGCACCTCTTTCCCACTGCAGCTCTGGAATGTCCCTCATCGTCATCACATCTCATGCAGGTCAATGGACCCGCATAAGACGTGATGACCTCAGTGGTCTTTTGACTGCCGGGGCCAAGGGAAGAAGAGGCTGCAGGGATTGGTCTAGCATCCCAGAGCGAGTGAGGATCAGGAGAGTAAATCTGTTTTTTAGGGGGTTTTTTGAGCCCCCTAGACAAAACGAGCACTTAATCCTTGCAGTGGAAGGGTAAGTTTTTTGTTTTCCTGGAGTTCTTGTTTGATGGCTGGTTGTCTGTGCATGTCTTTCACAATGAATCTTACGGCCGAGCAAGATAAACAGGCGCATGAAACAGGTTCATTTTACTGCAATTCTGTTGACTATACCAGCAGCAAGGCAAGATTTGAAAGCTGCGATGCGTGGCGTATGCAAAGCCAGCAGCAACGTCTATTATTATACAGGACTTGTATAGGGCCAACAGCTTGTGCAGCGCTCTACAAAATAAAGAGAAACCATATAGTTACAACACCATTCAGAACAAGAGGGTTAGGAGGGTCCTGCCCATGAGAGCTTACGATCTAAAAGCACAATATCCGGGAACATTCACCATAGGCATACCTATGTGACATCCACTGCTATAAAGTGTCATGCTCCTCTTTGCCAGTCTCATTGTCTTGGCAGGCACAATAATCGCAGCAGATTGGGCTCTACAGTCTCTTGTAAGATGCTGAGTTCAGGTTCTGAACAGAAACTCATCGGGTTGAGTTGTGAGGAGAAGAAATAGGTTTTCATCGGTGTCGGCCTCCAATATCATTACCTCCAGTGTATACACATGAAGGATTACGGCTTATTGTTGCTCTTGTTTTCTGACCATTCGTATGTTCTGTTGCAGGGAGGAGCGTATTATTTCATAGAACACGTGAAGGCAGATCCTTCCTCTTGGAACTATTTTTTTCAGATCATTTTGGATCCAACCTGGAAATACATTGGGGATGGATGCAAGCTAACAAAGGAAACATGGAAGTATCTGGAAAAATCGAAATTTTCAGATGTAAAACTTAGACACATCATTGCTCCATTTAAACACAGCCCTGTCAAACCCCACATCATCGGATATGCTGTGAAATAAACTTTAAATATGTCAAATAAAAACAAACACGGGACAAAGACTATCTGCCGTCTGAAAGAAATTGGTTCATCTGAAGATTTCGGTATGCATCTAGTTTGTTTTTTTCAGTGACTATATGAGAACTAATGAGCACAGACTTTTGTTTGTATCTTAGCTTCTTTTCTTCTCCATACAAGTCAATATGCAGGGTAAAGAAACTCCTGGCAACCCAGAAACCGCATGCAACAGACTTTGAGCAACTCCATGCCAAATTAAAGCAACTCAGAAGCAAGTCAAAGCCACAGAGAAGCATAACGCATGACTGAGTCTGAAGCCCACGCATATGAGCTCTTTGTAGTTCGTATTTAAAATTGTACTTGTAATTTGTATTTAAAGAGACTCTAATACTTTGCCCAACCCTATGTAAGCTCAGTGTTAAGATAACATAGGGTTAATGACTTCTTCTCGTCCCTCACATGACAGTGTTCAGGTATGTTGTTTGGGCACAGGCCTGAGCAGTGCATTCTGGGAGGAAGGGTAAAGGATCATATGCTCCCCCATATCCAAAAGCATTGGGCTCTGATGGGTGAGTATCAGCAGGTGTTGAATTGACAAGTGACAGAGTCTCTTTAAATAAGAACCCTGAGCAAAATTAATATAGGGATACACTATACAGTCAATTTTAATCTCGTGCTGCTTGTTGTCACATCATCTGTAACACTGAAGTATTTGTGCTGGTAATGAGGTAATTGCCAACAAATGATTGAATTGCTGAGCAGCACAAGATTTTATTTTAAAGTCCAATGACATGCAGATTGTTTTTTTGTTATGGTGTGGGTAAGGGCTGGGACCTCTGTCCATGGCCAGGTCTTCAGTGCTGTCCTAGACCTTAGCACTTAAGGTTTCTCACCCACACTTCTGGCATGGCCAAGACTTTTTGATTTTGTGTCTCCAAGCAGTGTGTTCTTCATACATTTCAATGGAGAGGGTGTGTGATATAGCAGTTCTGTGCTCTGCGCCTTGTAGTTGATATGTGCAGAACTTACTTGAGGACAATAGTGACTGAAGCTCCAAGCATGGTCCATCTCTTTCCAGCTATGGTGTGATGATCTCTTCCTTCTGGTGTCCCAAGAAGCGTGAAGAACCAGCAGGGAATCGGGTCTGGTCACACTCAATCCAGCACAGATTTCTGATGTTTGGGAGGAATTATTTTCTAAAGGAAACTGTAGCAAGATGCATAGAAGCTGCCTTTGCTGACAAAACCTGAACATACTGGAACTGTGGCTCATTCTCATTCAAGAGCTTCACTACTTTTGAAGTCACTGACTTGAAACAAGTGTGCAGACAAGTTCTGACTTTCCTTTTATACATACTTTTGTCAGGTCAGCATTTGTCAAAGACAGCAGGGCTTCTAGCGTTTTTAGAAAGGAAACCCACCACAAGTATCTTAACGTGTCTGCAAGCACCATTTGTTTCTCCAGGGTCTTCACAATGAGCACAACTGGGCTCTCAGTATGTTTGTAGTGGCGTCCGTCTCTGATGCCAGAGCTCTGCATTACTCCTTCATACTCTAGCATCCCTCAATGTATTGTATGGTGATTGATTTTCTGAACAGTAGGAAAATGCTGGGTGGGTGTGTTAGAGCTTTGAATTTGGTGCTAGAAGTCAATGATTGCTTACTGATTGTTCCAGATTTGGGAAACTTCTAGGGCGGCTCAGGAGAAGCCTTTAAAAAAAATCATCCAAGCAGTGTGAGGTGCCTACTTTTAAGATGTATTGTATTGTTGCCTTTATACCTGCATACTTGCAACGGGTTTACTTTCAGTCGGAGACATACACGATCGCAGCTCTTGTTATACACGGGTAACACTGTGTTTACACCTCACAACTGTCCCTTATTTGGAACCAAATCCATATCTCCCTCTTTCCTCCACCGGTGTCCCTCCTTTTGGTCTCATGTACAGATATCTATGAAAATGTTCTATGTAACTACCACAAGTGTTCTTCTGCACTAAAACCTTTATCTTATCTCTTCATGATCTTGTTTGCTATTTCTAAATGATTGGGTATGACTAATAATTTTTGGCATATACATCCTTATGGTCTGCATAACGGAGGTTGTGGCCGGTACATATCTATTGCCTAAATGCTTTGTTTTGGAAGGTGTCCCTCTTTCTCATCTCAAAACGTTGGGAGGTATGTGTTCACTGCCACTCTATGCACTATAGATCACTTTTCTACTAATGTGTACTGACCAGTAATATGACGTGCAAAGCTTGTAGTAATCGTTAGCTACCATTACCCCTTATTTCAGATTGGGGCAATCAAGACAATAAAATCTGAATGCTGACAGCTTATCACGGTTGCTCTTTGTCCTATGGGTGAAGCTCATAACCTGTATAGAGTGTATACCTTCACTGTCATTCTGTTAAGGTAGCCATACACCAACACAATCTGTTGCACTATCTGCCATCACAATCTGTTGCACTTTTTCCATCTGACCGCAGAAAATCTGCAGATAATTGTAAGATGTATGGGCACCTTAAGCCAGATGGCAGTGGGTGCAATTATACTGATAAGTTACTCCTGAGCTCGTCAAGTGCTGTTCACTGAGTGATCGGCTTTCTTTCTCATAACTCATATCCTACATCAGAAGGACATTTATTTCAGACAGATATGTATGTAAAGTTAAACTTCAGTTTTGTTGAAAAAAAAATTAGGCGTTACTACATTGGTTAAATGCTCGTTTGGCTAAGGGGGGGCGGTTGGTTTGTACAGTAATCTTAAAGTGACACTAAACTCAGGCGTTGAATCCTAGGAATACATTCAAGTACCTTAACTAATAACAAAAATTTATCTTATTAGTGTATCTTTCAGCTGTAGATCCTCCAATCATCTCTGAATAGGTGCTGACACTGTCCTTCCTTCTGGAGGGTGGCTACTTTTGTTCCCCATGGTCCCTGTGTGTGTTGTAAAGTAGCCTCCACTTCAAACTCACTCCCGTGATGGACTACAATCTCACATTTAGTTAGTTAATTTGTTTTGTATATCTAATCAATCACGGAAACAAGCTTGGAGTGGTGGCTACTCTACAACACACACAAGGATCATGGGGATCACAGGGATCATTTTTGTGCACCCAAGGCCATTTCACTTCGCTGCCTGGGTGAATGCAGCTCTCTGATGTAATCATGTACAATGTAGGACCAGTAGTCCTGTATTATAAGGGAGGATGGTAAGGGCCCGCTCACATCCCTCAGACAGGAGAGCGCCGGCTGCCAGGGGAGCAGAAAATAAGTATTTAAATATTTGTGTTTATTTATTATCCCCCCCCCAGCCAAACCAGCATTTAATCCATGCATTTCAAGGGGTACCTTTAAAAGCAGCCTGCAGTAGGGCTTTAATGCAGGAGGATATCCCCTCTTCACTCCCTGATCACAGCTGTGCGATTTGAAACGATTCAGTCAAGGAAATTCTATTATCGTTTATGGGGCCCATTCACACGTAAACATTGTGCTGCAGTGTGACTTTGAAAAAGATGCAGGCGATTCTTTTGTTGCATTTGGTGTGTTATTAGCCTCATAGACTGCAATGGGAGCATGTGTTTTTAGTATATGACAAGTCCTCATCCCCTAGCAAACTATACTTTATTTCACCATCATTGGCCAAAACAAAAACGCATGAAAACACATAAAAAATGCACACAAAGACCATGCTAATAACCTATGGAAATGCAGATGCACAAGTGTAAGCAGAAACTTGGACAGTTGTCACCATTGGGAGATTTCCCATCACCTTCTGCTCCCGTGGCAACGCAAACATTTTAGACTTCCCATGACTGCACCAGAACCAATAATCACCAGGGCCAATTGTAAGGATGAATCTTCCTAATGGGGACACAATAAAAAGCTGACAGATGTTCTGACTCCTCCACATTCCATCCAAAGTTAAAATAAAAACGTTTTGGCTGTGTATACAGTACAATTTAATCCAGATTTGAAGCTGCAAGCTTTTGAAACATTAGGTTTGATCTGCAAAAATTACAATTTTAATTATTTGCTTTGTCACATGAAAGCCCCACTCTGGGCACCAGAAAGACACACCCTTGCAGCCAGGGTCTCCCCCCACTGGGAATGGGGGGGGTTACTGCAAGATTCTCAAACTTTACATTATACCGGTGAGGGTGGGTGCACTTTAGGTAGCAGTGAAGCGTACTTCCTAAACTCCAACATTTCTGACTATATTAAAATAAATGTTGAACTTTTATAATTTTTTCTGTGTTTGTTTTAAGTTTTACAGTATGTTTTATTGATAACATTTTCAATAAAATCTTTGAAATCAAAAATTCTTTTTGGAGTTATCACAGCTGTATTGCATAGAAGTCTTCAAGACAATGAGGGGTCTCTATACTTACCACCTAAGTAAGGGTACACTTCATTATTGGCCATCATCTAAAGGGGCACTGCACCACTAACCACTAATCTGAGAGCACTTCACAACTAACCACCAATGTAAGACCCCATTCACATGTAGCGACATAACTTTGCAGCGGCCGGGATAGCGCGACTTTCGGGGGGACGTTCCAGCGACGGTAGCGCGACCTTCTCCGTCGGGCTCCATAGAAAAAAAGCAAAATCCGCCGAAAAAAGGGTCCAGTAGAAGCGACTTGCGACCGCGACGAGCGACGCGCGACATGGAGCTAAGACAGCTCCAGCACAAGTGTAAGCAGAAACTTGGACAGTTGTCACCATTGGGAGATTTCCCATCACCTTCTGCTCCCGTGGCAACGCAAACATTTTAGACTTCCCATGACTGCACCAGAACCAATAATCACCAGGGCCAATTGTAAGGATGAATCTTCCTAATGGGGACACAATAAAAAGCTGACAGATGTTCTGACTCCTCCACATTCCATCCAAAGTTAAAATAAAAACGTTTTGGCTGTGTATACAGTACAATTTAATCCAGATTTGAAGCTGCAAGCTTTTGAAACATTAGGTTTGATCTGCAAAAATTACAATTTTAATTATTTGCTTTGTCACATGAAAGCCCCACTCTGGGCACCAGAAAGACACACCCTTGCAGCCAGGGTCTCCCCCCACTGGGAATGGGGGGGGTTACTGCAAGATTCTCAAACTTTACATTATACCGGTGAGGGTGGGTGCACTTTAGGTAGCAGTGAAGCGTACTTCCTAAACTCCAACATTTCTGACTATATTAAAATAAATGTTGAACTTTTATAATTTTTTCTGTGTTTGTTTTAAGTTTTACAGTATGTTTTATTGATAACATTTTCAATAAAATCTTTGAAATCAAAAATTCTTTTTGGAGTTATCACAGCTGTATTGCATAGAAGTCTTCAAGACAATGAGGGGTCTCTATACTTACCACCTAAGTAAGGGTACACTTCATTATTGGCCATCATCTAAAGGGGCACTGCACCACTAACCACTAATCTGAGAGCACTTCACAACTAACCACCAATGTAAGACCCCATTCACATGTAGCGACATAACTTTGCAGCGGCCGGGATAGCGCGACTTTCGGGGGGACGTTCCAGCGACGGTAGCGCGACCTTCTCCGTCGGGCTCCATAGAAAAAAAGCAAAATCCGCCGAAAAAAGGGTCCAGTAGAAGCGACTTGCGACCGCGACGAGCGACGCGCGACATGGAGCTAAGACAGCTCCATTGACTATCATTAGCCGGCGACTTCTCACGATATCGCGCGGCAAAAATGCGCGATATCGCGGCGGAAATCGCGCGATAAGTCGCTACATGTGAACGGGGCCTAAGGGAGCACTTCACTACTGACCATCAATCCAAGGGGGCAATGCACCACTGATCACCAATCTTAGAGCACTTCTCCACTAACCACCAATGTAAGGGTGCACTTCACTACTGACCATCAATCCAAGGGGGCAATGCACCACTGATCACCAATCTGAGAGCACTTCTCCACTAACCACCAATGTAAGGGAGCCCTTCACTACTGACCACCAGGGGGCACAGGTGGACCTCACTCCATGAGAGGGTGGGTATAGAAGGAAAGCACTATCCTTATATTTCTAAATGTAAAATTTTAAAAAAAAAATTCAACATTTAAAGCAGACATTACAAAGTACATGTGGGTATTTTATTATTAAAGAAAATGCCTTCCATTCATACAGGGAGACCCCAGGGGTAGGCAACCTTGGCACTCCAGCTCTGTTGGAACTACAAGTCCCATGAGGCATTGCAAGTCTGACAGCCACAAGCATGACGGGATTTGTATTCTCACCACAGCTGGAGTGCCAAGGTTGCCATCCCCTGCTCTATACTAGGGATGGTCTTGATGTTCGAGTTGAGCAACAGTTCGACTCAAACATCGGTAGTTTGTGTGTTCTGACCACAGGTCAGGTGCAAGACTTTGCCCAATCACGACACAGTGTACTCTAAGAGCCATGATTGGGCAAAGTAATGATGACTTTGCCCAATCATGGCTCACAGCTATGTCCTGTCAGGTGCCGGACAAATGTAAACAGTTGGGCGGAGCTAGCATCGATGTCACTGCTAGCTCCGCCCAATTGTTTATATTTTGCCGGCATCTGTCAGAATGCCATTTTGCGGCAGGAGTTTGTCGCAAGCGGAGGGGTCGGCGTCGGTACTCGAATCCCCATATCCTTTTTATGGCCAATAACTTGCATATAAGCCTTCAAAATGGGGACATTTGATTTTGAGAGTTCTGGTCCTATAGACTTTCATTGAGCTCGAAGTTCGAACCTTTTCCATGTTCTGAAGTTCGAACTCGAACCGAACTCGGGTGTGTTCGGCCCATCACTACACTATACTAAATGTACTCTATCACTGGGGCGCAACTTCAGATCTAACCTGGAGTTTTCTAATAACAGTCAATGACAATTCAATGACAGTCGATGATCAAGGCAGGCGGGGAGGAGAGCGGAGCCACTGTCCTCCTGTCAGTTTCAGGATGACAGCGGCTCTGTGCGCGGCCGAGCAGAGGATCGGTAAGTATCATTGATATTTACCGATCCTCCGTGTACAGCACAAACACTGACGATCACTCCAGTGTTTGTAAATAACTGGAGACACATAGTACTATGTGTCCCCAGTTATGAATGAACAGGCTGTGATTTACATCACCTCCTGTTCATTCATGAGTTTCTCAATGGGGAGAAGCACTCAGTACAGAGGCTTTTCCCCATTGAGAATCTGCTTGATAGTAAATTTCCTGGCTCAACTCATGTCGGCATACCTACGGGTCAGCTCCTCCCCCCTGCCCCACAGGACCACCTTTAAACTAGCTATAAAAGACAAGCCCCCCTCCCCTAGTACCTGTTCTCTTTTTTTCCTCACTCCAGGCCACAGTGTTCATGGATCCGCCCTGCCATCTCCCAGCCGGGTTCAGCCTCTCCCGAGCTTGGAAGACCCCTCCGCTGGCAGTAAACCTCCTTGGGAGAGGGTGCCCGTGGTACGGGGTTGTGGAGGGGAGCTATGCTGTCTCTGTCCTGTCTTTCTTCCGCCGCAAGGGTAGCGGCGAGCGGATTCCTACTGCGCACGCGCTGGCGTCTGAGTCCCAGTATCTGCGCAGGCTCGTGGATCGCTATGGAGACGGCGGGACGCTAACGGCGCGCAGGCGCCGTAGGGCCATTCGGGCCGGCCGAAGTTCGGACGCTCCTATCAGCAGGCAGCCCTGGGGATTTATAACTGGGCAGGGTACGTGTATCCTGCCTGGTCAGCTGGTCATTGATCCTGGTGCTGCGGCTGTGTGGAGCGTCCTGTCTGTGTGTTGCTGAGTCTCTCGGGAGACAGTTTTTACTCTCTCTGTTTGTTTTTGGTGGCTTTATGAGGCTGTTTGCTGTACTGTACTTCCTTTATCTTTATCTTCAGCATTCTTCAGTATCATGAGCTCCCCTCGTCCAGTTTCTGATGCACGGCAAACTACTGAAAGGTAGGGAGGCAACAAATAGGATTCACGTAAAAGAGTGCATGATGCAGATATATTTTGATATTACTTTGCCTTTCAGGAGAAAGAGCCCTGGGCATAAACGATCTAGGAAGCGCAAGGAAAGAAGACGCTCGTCCAGTGCCTCGGAATCGTGTCATTAACGGTCTCCACAGCGCCATAGGCATAGGTCACGTGCAGGACCTGCTTCCCCTCCAGCTAAAAGTCAGGACTTCCCACCAGGTTACTGCTGGTCATGTTCTTCTCCAGCCCTCCCAGGGAAGATGGTATGTCGGGCATGCCTTAAGGAGGTGGCCAGGTATAGGGAGACGGACTTATTGGAGATTAAGTCTTATATTCATCAGGCTGTGAAGGACAGTCTGCAGGATTTACTTCCTGCAGTGGCATCAACCTCTCGGGACACCACAGTTCGCCCTAGAGGCGCTAGGCCGGTGAATGTTTCGGATGAGGGTGAGGTGTTTTCAGGAACAGAGTATTTCTTCCAGAGAGGCGCAAGGCGGAGATCTCCGCCTCTGTCAGCAAGGTTATCACTGTACAAACCTTGCAGGCCAGGGATTGTATGGTGCTGCTAGGGATGATGTCCTCATGTATCCCAGTGGTCCAGTGGGCGCGCTGGCACATGCAGCAGTTCCAAACTTGTTTTCTGCGGCAGTGGAACCACGCGGCTTTGGGGCAAAAGATACTTCTGCCATCAGCAATGCGGAGCAGCTTATCCTGGTGGAAGGAATCCCTGTGTCTCTCCCAGGGGCTCCCTCTGGGGCTAGGTACCTGGGTCACCCTGACTACAGATGCCAGCCTGCAGGGCTGGGGAGCACACTGTATGGGACATCAGATCCAGGGCCGATGGGAAGGCCCGGTGTCGGTGCAGTCCAACTGGTTGGAATTGAAGGCGGCCTCTCTGGCTCTGTGGGCCTTTCAACCTCTACTTCAGCACCAACAAGTCAAGATCATGATGGACAACAAGATGGCTGTCTCTTACATCAGAAGGCAAGGCGGGACCAGGAGCCTGCCCCTGCTGTGTCTGTCAAACGAGATCTTCTCGTGGGCAGAGAAGAATGTTCAGGCCTTAACGGCAGCCTACCTACCGGGAGTGGACAACACACTGGCGGATCATCTGAGCAGAGTGTTCCCGAGCGACGGGGAGTGGGAAGTGAACGCCAGATACCTGACACCTGTGTTCCGGAAGTGGGGAACACCACTGATCGATCTTATGGCAACTCGACAGAATGCCAAGGTGCCGAGATTTGTGTCCAGGCACAACTGTCACGAGGCGATGCATTCTCCATCAGATGGGACTTCTCTCTGGCGTATCTTTTCCCTCCCCTACCGTTAGCACTCAAGGTACTGCTGAAGATTCAGCAGGACGGAGGGAGGATGATCCTACTCCTACCTTACTGGCCACGGAGGCCGTGGTTCCCGTTGTTACAACAGATGGCGGTGGTGCCTCCATGGTTCTTCCCGGGCAAGGAGGACCTCCTGCTCCAGGGGCAATGGCGCCATCCCAATCCCGAGCGCTTGCACCTGGCAGCATGGCTGCTGAATCCTCGAGATGGCGGACCCAGGGTTTGTCAAGCCAGGTGATCAGCACCTTGTTGCAATCAAGAGGCCCGTCTACCAAAGCCACTTGCACCCGGATTTGGGAGAAATTTCTGTCATTTGCACAGCTGCATGGATTCCTGCCTTTACAAGCTCAGCTGGGAAATGTATTGAGTTTCCTACAATCAGCATTGGATATAGAGTAGTGGGGGGTGGGGGGTTTGGGTTGACAGAGGGCACCTCCCTGAAATGAGAAGGGCACCTTCCTGAAATCACTTATTTCAGGTTGGGATCCCTGCATTCGTTTATCATTATCCTGCTCTGGAAGAATGACAGCGAGTTGTATTGGGTTTGTTGCCATGGATACCAACCTCACTCAGGTTTCAGAAGTCGGCCTTGTATTCAGTAACAGACTGAGGATGGACATGACAGTGGTTGGAGCTCTTCTCCTGTGCTGGCAAGGAATATCAATGGCAAGTAACATTGAAGGTAGACATCACACACTTTCAGTATAACATCACTGAGTCAGACTACTAAAGTGTATCTGCAGCAAAAACTTTTCTTTAATGTTGTTGACAGAGTAGGGAAAACTTTATTTGCCCGGGTGACCATTGTCACTGAGACAGGAAGTGATGAGAAATCCAACATTTTACAGTTGTCACCAGAACAGGAAAAATGGAAGCCAACTGATGACAACGGTCAGGGTCATGTCACACTTGTCTTCCTGTCGCTGCCAAAAACATGGCAGTGACAGGATGGCTGCCAGGCTGGCTGTGACAGGAAGGTGGTCTGGCTCTATGAGATGAGGGGGATTTCCCTTACTTTGTAGAGATTTACCTTCTCTTCCTGTTACATCTCTGTGAAGATACATTTCCTCAAAGAGGCCCAGACAGCAAAATAAATAAGGGTGTTTGGTAAGATTTCGGGTGTTTCTTGGAGGAATGTGTTGACTGAAGGTAAACCACAGCATACAGCCATAACTATGTAAAGAGCCGGCTACCCCTATCTACTCTTGGCTTTTGTATGTATCAGTTATTATCCTGCAGCAATAAATGAGGTCACTGTCAGACAACACCCCGATTCACTGGCATCTGGATAACAAGCAAGCCACTGCACACAATGTAATCCCATCTGGCCTGAATTTTTCTTAATGACTTGGGGGGAATTTGTCAAAACTGGAGCAGACAGAATCTAGAAAAGTTGTCCACAGTAACCTATCAGCTTCTCTCTTCAGTTTGTTAAGTTAAGCTTTGAAAATGAAAGAGAGAAGCTGATTGGTTGGGCAACTACTCCAGATTCTGGCTGCTCCATTTTTTTAAAAATTCCCCTCTTGGTATCAGCCTCTGGGTGTCTGTTTTTCAACAGTGTCTTATTTGTCACAGAGACAGCGATGGAAAACTCCAACTTCTACAGTTATCCCCAGAACACACGGTTAGATGAAATCTTTCATTGGAGATGCTTGCTTCCATGGCAGCTGCCTAGGAGGGGAATTCCTCTCGCTTTGTACACACTTACTCTCACTTCCTGTTGCATCTTCGGGACAGGAAGTGAAACATAATCTCACCAACGGAATACAGGCAGAAAAAAAATAAACTGACAGGGGTTTTGAGCCTTCCCAGCTCTGTACTAAGCCCCCAAAAAAAGGTTTCAGATATACGTATACTGTAAATTAGTAGTACTGCTGCAGTTCACAGTGACAAAATAACAGCGAGTGCAGATAACATGACATCTTGCAATCTATCAGTTGCTTCTTAAGGGAATTCTCTATTAATTCTCATATAATGTATTTTAATGGAAACATGAATCTTCTACCCTTTATTCCTCCAGCTTGTGGAAAGCCTCTATTAGTAGATACCACGGGATCTCGCATTGTTGGAGGTCATGATGCCATTCCAGGAGCGTGGCCATGGCAGGCAAGCCTGCAGTATTTCCTCTTAGACTATGACTATGATCATTGGTGTGGCGGATCTCTAATTGACAGCAGATGGGTGATCACCGCTGCTCACTGTTTTATACAAAAAAGGTAAGTACCAAGTAGTAACATCACTAGTACAACCAACAACAACTACCGTGTTTCCCCGAAAATAGGACACTGTCTTATATTTTTTGGGGCTCAAAAAAACACACTAGGTCTTATTTTCGGGGTAGGTCTTAAAGTTAACGCAAATCCAAATTAAATAATCCAAAATGGCAAAGTTAAGAATATGGTGATCAGGGCAATCAGGGGTGCCGTACCTTTCCAAGAGCAATTAGGTAACCAATTGCTGGCCAGAATGAGCGAAGTGCGCTTTCACTATCCATTCCTCACAGACGGAGTGCATTTGGTATCACCCCGCCTGTGACAGGAGCCGGCGCTATAGAAGAAGCATCGCCTTATGCGGCTCTGCTCCCTCCGCTGCCGCCTCACTTCCTCTAGCGCTGGCTTCATTGGCACCGCTGATTTTCTCCCGCGGCTCTTCAAGTTCCCCCTTATGCAACCACCGGCCCTGGGAATGGTCACAACTAGGTCTTATTTTCGGGGTAGGTCTTATATTTTAGCAATTCCCCAAAATAGTACTAGGTCTTATTTTCGGGGTAGGTCTTATTTTAGGGGAAACAGGGTATGTCCACTGTTTTCGCAGGTTTTCTTTTGGTTTTACTTCTCTTCTAAGTCACAGGACTATATTTACTAATTTACTCCTGTGATTCAAAGTCAGCAGATAGGGGAATACAAGCTTTGTGACGATATTGTTGGGGGGCCCTCTGCTGCCTGATTGTCAGCTGGCTCTGCCTCACTAGAACCACTGCCCACTCCCCTGTCTGTCCCTCCAATGAGCGCTGCAGGGAGAGAGAAGGGAGTGGTGAGTGACAGTCACTGCTCTCTGCAGGGAGAAGCCGTAAGCTGAGTGATCAGCAGTTTGTGATCGCTCCACTCTCGATCTACAATGAGTGGCCAGTTTATTATGACCACCTGACGTTTGTAGGCAAATTAGTTATAATTAGCTATAATTTTGCGCTGAAGTTGCTAGAGGGCCAGACCATTATTATTTTTTTCAGAAGATATGGGTAAACAATGCGATTTAACAGCCTTTGAACGTGGGATGATTGTTGGCGCGAGCCATGGAGCGAGTATCAGCAAAACAGCAGAATTCGTTAAATGTTCAAGAGGGGCTCATTGTTAAAGTGTTTAAAGACTGGACTGTCAGCCAAAAATCTGGGTCTGAACGTGCGAATTGTGGCCGTCAGCGACTAGTCACTGTTAGGGCAGAACGGAGAGTGGCAAGACTGGTACAAGACAACAGAAGGGCAACAGTGCAGTGTCAGATTCCTCGCATCACCTTTCAACATCTCGTGAGTCACGAGGCGGCCCAACAAAGTCATCTCGTGGAGTCATCTTGTTGCCCAACGAAGTACTGGGGTGGTCATAATAATCTGGCCACTCAGTGTATAAAGCCAGTGTGCGACAGCTGCAGTGTCCTACACTGGCTCTAAGTATTGGGAAGAGTAGATTTTACCCTCTCTGTACTTCTCCTCTAAAGTGTAACTCTAGCCAAACTGTTTTTGTTTTGGATAGAGTGAGAATAGTAAAACATTTGATCATGTCTTTATTTGTCTGTGTGCCCTATGGGCCACTTCCTGTGCCTGTGAGGCCCATACACACAATGGTTGTCAGAAGCTCTAACCTGTCCCCATACTACTAAATATGTATTTTAGCTTAGGGCCCTTGACACGTGCAGCAAACACTACCACTTGCCTGCTGGTGTGTGCTGTGAAAGAAGCGGTGCAATGCAATGATTACAGTGCATTGCACTCTTTACCTTTCTTTTACCTTTATTGAGATGTTAAAAGTGACTTCCCGTTCACTTCTACTGGCTGCGGTAGTGTGCCTCAACTTGCCACAGTAAAAAAAAAAAAGCTCAGTAGGACTGCATCTTACTTTTTTTTTTTCATGCACATAACCATGCCACGCTAGTGTGATCTAACTGTCATAGGGCACAAGGCAAATTTCCTTGTCTATGCGTTGGAAATGCATTGGGCAAGCCTACCCAGAACAGCCCAACACATCTGGTGTGGATGGGTGCTTTGTCTGTGTCCCTATTGGAGAGACAAGTGATACAAATAGTAAACGCACTCATCAATTCATAGCTTGTTTTAAAATAAGGTGCACATGAATGGGCTTTAGACAGTACTAAAACAAAACATTCCCAGCACACTCACCAGCCAGCTTGCAAAAAAAACCTCCAAAAAACAAATTTCACTGTCTATTAAGGTTAAAAACAGAGGTTTAAGTTGCACAACTTTTGCAAAATATGTGGAAGCCGCACTGCCTTGTCAAAGTCCCTTCCGCTTTTGTACTGTGTAAAGCCCTTCCATGTGCACATTACTTTAAAGCTAGTTATGAATTGATGATCATGTTTGCCATTTGTTGTATTTGGTGTGGGGACGCACTGGGGTGTCAGCTGACATTGTGAAGTGCGGGGCTTCTGATGTGTCCCTGTGCCTTTAAGGAGGTTGGGCTGCCTCCTGGCGAACCTGCACCCAATTCACCCTTTGCTATATATGCTCCAAGATGAAGGCTCTCATAGATTAGAGTTATTACCACACTACACAGAGGGGCTTTGAAGAAACAGTGCGGCTTCCGCATATTTTGCAAAAGGTGTGCAACTAAAACCTCTGTTTTTAGCCCTAATTAGAGTAATTTGTTTTTGTTTTTTTGCAGGCTGGCTGGTGAGTGTGCTGGGAAAATTATTTCTTACTGGAGAGACTTTCCATCACATCTTGTCCTAAAAGACATAAGGCCTGGTTCACACCTGGGCGTTTTACAGCTCGTTCCTACGCTCTGTAAAACGCTCAACATGTGAAAACCAATGATTGCCTATGGGCATGGTTCCCACCTGGGCGTTTTACAGCGCGTAGGAACGTGCTGCAAAACGCCCTACGCCCAAAGAAGTACAGGAGCTTCTTTGGGGCGTATTTGCCGCGCGTATCCATTGAGATACAGCCAGGTAGCCCTCGGAAACGCGCGTTTGTGGCTCGTTTTTTTTACCGTGAATCGCAGTAAAAACGTGCAACAAACGCGCATATTCGATACGCCTAGGTGTGAACCCAGCCTAAGGGGAAATCTACTTAATGCATATCTACACAGACAGTAATAAAATCTTGACATCAAGGCATGGGCCCTCCTTACCATCTTGTCTTGATTTGTATTGTGATTGTAATGTCTTCCTTATATTGTAAAGAGCTGCGCAAACTGTTGGTGCTATATAAATCCTGTATAATAATAATAATAATGAGCCCTTCTATCCGAAGTCAAAGTTTCAGCTGGAGTTGGGGCGCAAAGGCTGTTTACTTTTCTGACCATGTTTCATGTTACACCCATATTTAGGGTGTAACATGAAACATGATCAGATCACACACTACCCCCTCCCCCCTCCCACACACACACACACACACACACACTTACCTGAATAGCGGTGGGGTTTCTCCCCGCAGGCTGGGGTGGATTTTTTAATTTGGCGCACATTCTTTTTGAATAGCAACAGATTGTAAGGCAGCCCATACACTTTGGTGTGCTTTCACTTTTTTTGCGCTGTGGTGCACTGAAGGATAGGTGCCTCATAGCACACATTTCGAACATGCATGCCTAGGTGGTGGGGGGACGGACAGACGGGACGAGAGGCAAAAAATTAAGATTTACCAAATGACTTTTATATAATAGGTCATCCTCTGGACAGAAGTTCTCTTAAAGCTACTCTCTAGGCTGCTGCCAAGCTACCAACCCCCACCCTCCTTTAACTAATCGATCCCATAGGAATAAAAAAGAAAAAAAACAACATATGCCACGTTTGCTCACTTAAAGCTTCAGTCATGTGACATTTCAGTCCCAAATCTTTTCTTTTCTTCCATGAACAGTAGACAAGGTCCTTATTTGGTTATCCATGACACTGCCTGCTTGATGTGGACACTTCCTATTGGTTGTCCAGCGGCGGGGTCCTCTCAACATCCAGAAAAGGGGATCAGAAGGGATCTGCAGGGCTGAATCACCAGTCCCCTGCACCCAAAAGAGTGTTGGCAGGGGGCACAAATGGTGGACTTAGGTGACTAAAAGATGCTTTAAAAAGTTACAAGTTTTCCCCGGCGATGGGCTTTCAAGAGTTTGACTTCCAAGAATCTCAGTGTTAGTGTATTAATCTTCATTTCTTACCCTTATCAGGAATCCTAAATTATGGAGAGTGGTTTTTGGAATACGTAGTATCTCAGATACATCCATATCAGGAACAATATCAGCTGTTACTGGAATATATGTTCATGAAAACTTCGATAATCGAACATTGGATAATGATATTGCATTGATACATCTAGCAAGTTCTATAAAATATACGGACTATATCCAGCCAATCTGCTTGGCAACAGAGGAACTGGCTGTGGACAATTCAACATCATGCTTTATCACTGGCTGGGGTGATACTGCAGAAGGTAATATAGCAGAGTTTATTTCTGACTCCAGGATTGTAGGAATTTTGTTTTCAATCTAGGAGGATTTTTTGACCAGCATGTACAGTGGCCCAGGGTGAAATGTGTATAAGTCATAGCTAATGGCAGAAGAATAAAAGCTTGGGGTTCTATATAGGAGGCTATAGTACACTCTGCATAATGTTACTGTACATGCATATTAAAATAACTATAAAGACACTTTTAAAGGCCAATCATATGATCACATAATGCAACACCAGCCCACATTTATGTAGGTGGACAATTTCTATAAAGAAGAATTCAGAAATAATATAATTTTACAACCCCACTTTTGTGACCCACACTAAAAACGAAACTCACAAAGCACTGCTTGATCAATTTTTAAATTTGTTATAAAGGTTGAAAAAAACGTAATTTTTGGTTTCGGTCTCAAAATGTCATTATGGTGCTTCCCTAATTCATGCAGACCTTAAAGGCCCACTGTAACTGACTGCTGTCTCTGCTAGCAGATGGGGAGGAAGACTTATTCACAGTCAACTACTATTTGACCAAGGCCTGGAGGTAACCCTGCTTGCTTCATCCAAAATGGACAAATCAGTTGAAATTGTTTGGCTCCTTTATTAAAATAGTTTGTTTGGTCCATAATTATAACCTTTCTTTTTTATTTATTACTTGCAGGTGAAATGTCAAATATTTTGCAGGAAGCACAAGTAAAGATTATTCCCAGTTCCATTTGCAACAGGCAAGAATGGTACAATGGTACTATAAGTGATAATATGATTTGTGCAGGATATGAATTTGGAGGAATTGACAGTTGCCAGGTAAACAGATGCTTTCAACTAACTGTGTAGAAATAGGGAGCTTTAAAGATGATAAACAATATACAGCACATGCCTCCAATAACGTGCCTGAAAGCCTGAAAAAGTGCAAAGGGGAGGAAAAGTAGAGAGTGCCAGCAATTTTTTGGTTCTGTATGAGAGAATATCTGTAAAAAACAAGTCAAGGCAACTGGACCTTCTGTATTTTTCTTGAAGATGTTTCACTTGTCATCCGACCAGCTTACTCAATTCAATTCAGAATGACTTGTGCAAAAAATCTCTGGGAATACATATAGTGAATGTTGCTCCAATCCACATGATCTTTTAGACGCAACCAGGTGTTTGATGCCTTTGCATGATTGGAGCTAGGAGGTGTTATTAACCTGCCCAGAAAGAGGTGTTAAAACAGCATTGTATATGGCAGACAATAGATGTCTCACCCCCGCCCCTTCCCCTTCTATTCAAGCTTGACTTCTCCATTTTTACATTAATGGCCTCTTTTACACCCCTTTTAATGAGAGAAGACAACCCTGGCATCCCTTTGTTCATGCATGCTCTATACTCATCCCTTTAGGACAGTTGTGAACTTAGCCTTAGCGTGTGCTTCTAAGGGGATGCCTGATATGATAAAACTGTTCTGTGTCTGGAGATGGCTTTATCAGGCAAGGAAGTTACATTTTAACTTCAATTACATTTTCAACTTCATTATGCAAATGGATAAATTAAAATGTAACAGTAAAAATACTTACAAAATGTCTCAATAACAATACCCAGTGTTAGCATCTGGCAGAATTCTATAGTGCCACAGCTCGTACACTCCTTTGGCATCTCACCTTTGTCCATGGTAACACCTATAACTATTTTTGCTTTCCAAATTAGTACATTCCGGTGCTGGACTAGTGATGGCATCTTTTATATCTCCGGAAAGGTTAGGTGACAGCACATAGCATACTGGAGCAGGTGACTTGTGTATGTAATCTCAGGACTACATTTACATGGAGGAGGGATAGTATTAGGGTTAGATTTCCAAGGAAGGTTAGTGTAAGGGAGCCCTCACACTAGGATAGAACATTGCTTTCTGTGCTGAAAACTAGAGTTGGCAATCTCCTGGCACAAACACATGTATTGTCCACTTTCTGTAATGTATACTACTCCACAAATTACTGGTGTAGTGTAGTTCCAATCTCTTGACCCATTTAGCTGCTTTGAAAAGCAAATACATTTGCCCTCCATCAGCCATCTGTTGAAATCTGCTATGTGAGATTTATGGGGGTGCGTATACTTAGTGACAATGGCTGCAAGGGGCAAATGAAAATGAGGATATGTTTGCTTCTCCACCACCTCTTCATTTGCAGTACGTGGCTAAAAACAGGGCTCATTGTGTCTCCATTGGAATCAATTATTGCAATCATTTCATAATGTCAAATGTAACATTATCTGTGCCATAAATATGGCCAATGTTTCTAATACACCCGCCAGCTTCTCCACTGACTACCACTGCACACATGCACTTTATCACTTACCACCACTGCACCTGTGTACTTCTCCATTGACCACCACTGCACCTGTGTGCTTCTCCATTGACCACCACTGCACCTGTGCGCTTTTCCACTGACCACTACTGCACCTGTGTGCTTCTCCATTGACCACCACTGCACCTGTGTGCTTCTCCACTGACCACCACTGCACCTGTGTGCTTCTCCACTGACCACCACTGCACCTGTGTGCTTCTCCACTGACATCCACTGCACCTGTGTGCTTCTCCACTAACATTCCATTGCACCAGTGTACTTTTCCATTGACCACCATTGTGCCTGTATGCTTCTCCATTCACCACCACTATATTGATGTGCAGTTCCCTAAAAAACTGTGTGCAAGTGTACCTAGAAGAATTGACGCTGTTTTGCAGTCAAAGGGTGGTCACACCAAATATTGATATGATTTGGATTCCTCTTCTGTTCATCTACTTTCCATTTTGTTAAATGCTAAAAAAAAAAAAACTATTGCCACTCTTATTTCTGATTTTTTTTTAACTTTACAGCATTTTTTCACACCTGCCCAAAATGTTTGCACAGTACTGTATATATATATAATACATATATATATATATATACACACACACACACACACTATATTGCCAAAAGTATTGGGACGCCGGCCTTTACACGCACATGAACTTTAGTGGCAACCCAGTCTTGGTCCCTAGGGTTCAATATTGAGTTGGCCCTCCCTTTGCCGCTATAACAGCTTCAACTCTTCTGGGAAGGCGTCCACAAGGTTTAGGAGTGTCTCTATGGGAATGTTTGACCATTCTTCCAGAAGCGCATTTGTGACATCAAGTACTGATGTTGGAAGAGAAGGCCTGGCTCGCAGTCTCCGCTCTAATTCATCCCAAAGGGGTTCTAGCCAAGCCCAACCCCTAAAAAACAACCCCAAACCATAATCCCCCCTCCACCAAACTTTACACTTGGCACAATGCAGTGAGTCAAGTACCGTTCTCCTGGCAACCGCCAAACCCAGACATGTCCATCGAATTGCCAGACAGAGAAGCGTGATTTGTCACTCCAGAGAACACGTCCCCACTTCTCTAGAGTCAAGTGGCGGTGTGCTTTACAGCACTGCATCCGACGCTTTGCATTGCACTTGGTAAGTCTTGGACGCAACTGCTCTGCCATGGAAACCCATTCCATGAAGCTCTCTACGCACTGTTGTTGTGCCAATCTGAAGGCCACACGAAGTTTGGAGGTCTGTAGCTATTGATTCTGCAGACAGTTACAGCTGACCCCGCTCTGTCATTTTACGTGGCCTACCACTTCATGGCTGAGTTGCTGTTGTTCCCAGTTGCTTCCACTTTGTTATAATACCACTAACAGGTGACCGTGGAACATTTAGTAGCAAGGAAATTTCACGGATGGACTTATTGTACAGGTGGCAACCTATCACGGAACCACGCTTGAATTCACTGAGCTCCTGAAAGCGACACATTCTTACACAAATGTTTGTACAAGCGTCTGCATGCCTAGGTGCTTGATTTTATACACCTGCGGCCATTGAGGTGATTGGAACACCTGAATCCAATGATTTGGAGGGGTGTCCCAATACTTTTGGCAAAATAGTGTGTATATATACAGTATCTCACAGAAGTGAGTACACGTACACCAGTCACATTTTTGTAAATATTTTATTATATCATTTCATGTGACGACACTGAAGAAATGACACTTTGCTACAATGTAAAGTAGTGAGTGTGCAGCTTGTATATCAGTGTACATTTGCTGTCCCCTCAAAATAACTCAACACACAGCCACAAACACAAAAGTGAGTACACCCCTAAGTGAAAATGTCCAAATTGGGCCCACAGTGTTAATATTTTGTGTGGCCAACATTATTTTCCAGCACTGCCTTAACCCTCTTGGGCATGGAGTTCACCAGAGCTTCACAGGTTGCCACTGGAGTCCTCTTCCACTCCTCCATTACGACATCACGGAGCTGGTGGATGTTAGAGACCTTGCACTCCTCCACCTTCCATTTGAGGATGCCCCACAGATGCTCAGTAGGGTTTAGGTCTGGAGACATGCTTGGTCAGTCCATCACCTTTACCCTCAGCTTCTTTAGCAAGGCAGTGGTTGTCTTGGAGGTGTGTTTGGGGTTGTTATCATGTTGGAATACTGCCCTGCAGCCCAGTCCCTGAAGGGAGGGGATCATACTCGGCTTCAGTATGTCACAGTACATGTTGGCATTCATGGTTCCCTCAATGAACTGTAGCTCCTCAGTGCCGGCAGCACTCATGCAGTCCCAGACCATGATACTGCCACTACCATGCTTGACTGTAGGCAAGACACACTTGTCTTTGTACTCCTCACCTGGTTGCCGCCACACACGCTTGACACCATCTGAACCAAATAAGTTTATCTTGGTCTCATCAGACCACAGGACATGGTTCCAGTAATCCATGTCCATAGTCTGCTTGTCTTCAGCAAACTGTTTGCGGGCTTTCTTGTGCATCATCTTTAGAAGAGGCTTCCTTCTGGGACGACAGCTATGCAGACCAATTTGATGCAGTGTGCAGCATATGGTCTGAGCACTGACAGGCTGACCCCTTCAACCTCTGCAGCAATGCTGGCAGCACTCATACATCTATTTCCCAAAGACAATCTCTGCATATGATGCTGAGCACGTGCACTCAACTTCTTTGGTCGACCATGGCGAGGCCTGTTCTGAGTGGAACCTGTCCTGTTAAACTGCTGTATGGTCTTGGCCACCGTCCTGCAGCTCAGTTTCAGAGTCTTGGCAATCCACTTATAGCCTAGGCCCTTGGTTCTCAACTGGTGGGTCACGACCCAAAAGTGGCTCGCGACCCCATGTCCAGTGGTTTGCCACATGCCTTCCACTTTTCTAGGTGGAACACTCTTTAGCCTTCAACCCGCGCAGCACTGTCAGTTCTCCCGCCGAGCAGCCATTCAACATATGCTGCCCGGCCCTAGTTGTTAGCTTGAGGTGGGGTGGGCTGGAAGTATGACCATAAGAGAGCTCCATCCATATGTGCATTGCTTACAGCTCCCACATGTGCCCTGTAGAGGTGCCTGGACTGGACTGACGTCACATTCTGGCTCCTGGCACCTCTACAGGGCGCACAAGGGAGCTGTACAAGCAATGCACATATGGATGGAGCTCTGTCACAGCACAGCAAGCAGCCCAAACTGGACCCTAGGCTGAGGATCCACTCCAGTTCTCGTAAGGTAGGGAGACTGGGTGGATGTAAAAAATATATATGTGTGAGATTGTGTCTGTGGTTGTGTGTGTCTGTTTTTGAGAGTCCGTTCACACTAGTACAGTGCATTAATTGCACAGTTCCATGCGATTACCGCACTGTACCACGCAATCGGTGTGTTGTGTTGCCATTCATTTGATTGACACCCCAAACGCACCTCCCGCCCACAGTCCGATTGCCGGCACGATGGCCACCGTCAAAGTAATGCAGAAAAGAAATAGACACCGGCACTCCAATAATAAATCGATTACGTCTATTTATTGACGTACATTTGACGGTGGCCATCCGACGACTACTGAGCACCCAGGATACTTTGTTGGACGTGCGGTCAGGAGTGCAATGGGTACATGGACTGTAAACTAACGAGTCACATGACACCGGGGAGGGAAAATAGCTAATTGGGCCCAATTTTGACATTTTCACTTTTGTTGCCAGCGGTTTAGACATTAATGGCTGTGTGTTGAGTTATTTTGAGGGGACAGCAAATGTACACTGATATACAAGCTGTACACTCACTACTTTACATTGTAGCAAAGTGTCATGTCTTCTGTGTCGTCACATGAAATGATATCATAAAATATTTACAAAAATGTGAGGGGTGTACTCAGTGCTGTGTGAGAGTGTGAGTGTGTGTGTGTAGTGTAATGATGCCATCTGCAGGTAATAAGGTGAAACAGTTATTACATTGGTATGTATACTAGCAAAAGTGTGCCCATTGATTGAACAGAATGAATACTGACTATCGAATTCCTTAAAAAATATAGTGTACTGATTTAAGAGGAACATAGTGTCTAGCACAGTGTACATAATGCATCAGTGTATGGTACGTGGCTTGCTTTTACTTTAGTTGAAGAAGTTAGTTGAAAAGTGTCAGCATGCAGTGCTGGTCAGTGCAGAAGTGTGGGGGTGAAGTGGCAGTGAGTGGCGAATAGTGGCAATAGGTCTCTCCACCAGTCCCATTATATGTTCTTGGGATTCAGCAAGCTTTGGTGATACAAACCATAAGGAAATTGACACAGTAGCTGCACATAAGCCTTTATTTGTGGGTCAGCATGAATCTGTAACTTAAAATCTTTTAACTCTCCGACGATTCCAGAGAAACAATATTTAATTTCCTCTTGTAGCATAGGAATATAAGTGAACAGTATATTAATCTCTGCAGTGTCCTCTGGAGCCAATCCTAAATACCCCTAGTTCTGATCTGCATTGGGCCAAGCAAACTGGTTCCTTTCTTAATACCGGTAGCACCAACGAAACAAATCAGTCTACAGAGAAGAGAACGGCAGGAGGTACCGGAACCATGTGTGTAAAACTGCTTGTTGGTGTTGCACTATCTGAAAAGTTTTCCTCTAAATGTACCAGAATGCAGAGTCTATAGCATCAGAGTAGCTCCTTTCACAAAGTTAACGCTGGTAGATCGCGATCACCACTCGCTGTCCTGAGCTCACGCCTGCGGTGCTAGTGCATCCGAACGCTGCAGAGAGAGAGAGGCGTCCTGCCCCTTCCAGCCTGCAGCGTCCAACACATTCGGCCACATTAGCACCGTGGGAGCACAGGGAAAAGAGCCCAGGAAACATAAGAGGAGCCTGGGGAGAGCTGAAGGAAATGGCGGGCAAAGACAACCGCGGAAGAACCTGAGTCTGCAGGGAGAGAGCTGCTGTCCAGGTAGAGTGTAGCCCGCCAGCACGGAAAGGGTCTTTGAATGTCAGGAAGGAACCCATTAGGCACCAGGAGAACCCTGAGGACACAAGACATGTAAAATCAGCAGCAGAAAGGCCAGAGAGGACAGTCTGTTACTGTGAGTGGAAGAGAGAGATCGCCAGGGACCCACAAAGCCACCAGGAAAGACACTGAAGAGGAGAGAGCCAGGGGAGAGAGCCCGGAGGATGAGCAAGGAGAGACAGCCAGGAGAGAGAGGAAAGACAGCCAAGAGGATAAGCGAGGAAAGACAGCCGGAAGAGAGAGTGAGGAGAGGCAGCTAGGAGAGAGAGAGAGGAGACAGCCAGGGGAGAGACAGCCAGGAAGAGGATCAAGGAGAGACAGCCAGGGGAGAGACAGCCAGGAAGATGATCAAGGAGAGACAGCCAGGGGAGAGAGCGAGGAGAGACAGCCAGGAGTATGAGAGAGGAGGGACAGGCAGGAGGATGAGCAAGGACAGTCAGAAGGATGAGCCAGGAGAGACAGCCAGGGGAGAGAGTGTGAAGAGACAGCCAGGAGAGAGAGGAGAGACAGCCAGGGTAGAGATCAAGGATAGACTGCCAGGAGGATGAGCAAGGAGAGACAGCCAGGAGGATAAGCGAGGAGAGACAGTCAGGAGATAAAGCCAGGAGAGATAGAGATAGATGGCTAGGGGAGAGAGAAAAGACAGCCAGGAGAGTGGGGAGAGAGAGCCAGAGAAGAGACAGCCAGGAGAGACAGCCAAGAGGATGAGCGAGGAGAGACAGCCAGGAGAGAGCGAGAAGAGACAGCCAGGAGCGAGAGCGAGGAAAGTGAGAAGAGACAGCCAGGAGAGCGAGGAGAGACAGCCAGGAGAGAGAGCGAGGAGAGAGAGCCAGGAGAGAGAGCGAGGGAGAGGTGTTTTTTTTCTTTGGTAGATGCCATTGTGCTCGTCATTTGAAAAGTCTTAACACAAAAAATTGGAGTCACCCCTGACTTAAGTTTTATTATCTGGTAATAGGTGTAAGCTACTACGAGAGATTTTCCTCTGAAACAGTTACACAACAATTCATCTCCCTGCACACATTTTATTTGGTGCTTCCATTACTGACAGCTTCAATAAATGTTCCTCTGGCTTCAATGCTTTCTGAGCTTCAGACCCAGAAGAAGCATGTAGCAAGCAGAAGTCAGAATTCCTGATCTCCATAAATGTTCCAAGTCAATGACACAGAAGACACTGACACCAGATGGTCAGACTAATAGTGGGGACACAAGCACTTTCAAAAGGAGGCTTTGTAATGGAACCACCTTCAATTTCTGCTATAACAAGATGTATTTGAAATGTCCATTTTCAGTGGGATTCTATATAGACCTATAAAGCTGGTACACATTTTTGTCCATTAAAAATAACTAGATGAAAACAATCCCCTGAACAGTATTAGCTCAGCATAGGCACAATTGAAGACCTCATGCCACGCAGCTTACCAAAAAGCTGCATTGGGTAATTTGGGACATTTCTAGCTCTTACCCACTCTCATGTGACAAGGTGATTTACCCCAAATGCTCACCTGATACAGCCGTTTTCATACCCAAAAAAAAGTCCTAAACCTTGGGTACAAATCTAGTGTGTATTTAACTAAAAATCTTCCTTTCATATGCTTTTACAGGGAGACAGTGGTGGACCATTTGTATGTTATATTGCAGCAAGAGGCAGATTCTATCAGTTAGGTATTACCAGCTTTGGACAAGGATGTGCAGAATCTCGTCATCCTGGGGTCTATATTAAAGTGGAGAATTATGGATACTGGATGGTCGCACAGATGGCAAATGTCAGAAACAACGCAGATGGCATTATTAATGACAACATTTCAGACAAAGCTAATGGCATCATACTGTACCTAATAAGTATGATCAATATACTGACCTGGCTGAATAACGTTGTGTAAAGGTGATTTAATGACTAGACAATGTAAAAAGGCCTGAAGCATAGCTCAGGATAGATGAATAGGAAAGGACAGATGATGTAGGATAGCAGATATGATTGATATAGCCTAGGGCAAAATAGATCTAAATTCTGTGTCAGCGACTTAACATGAGAACCAGTTTTATTCCCTATCAGTTATCATCCCTATGTGTAATGATGTTTAATATATGCTTTAAAATGTACATGTTTTTGAGAAATGCCCGACTCTGTGATATAAATATATAATTTTAAACAGATTAAACATTCTGCTGAGCTGTAAAAATTGTCTGTTTTTTTAGGATGCTCTAAGGCCTCGTTCACACCTGAACGATTTGTAGCGCGTTCCACGCTCGACGAACGCTCTACAAAACGCTTAAACATCTAAATCCCATTGTATTCAATGGGTCTGGTTCACACCTTGGCGTATTTCAGCCCGTCCCTAACGCGCTACAAAACGACCCACGCCTGAAAAGGTACATGTACTACTTTGGGCCGTTTTTGTTGCGCGTTTCCATTGGGATACAGCCAAGTAGCCCTCGGAAACGCGCGGTAAAAAAAACGCGCGACAGACGCGCATATGCAATACGCCTAGGTGTGAACCAGGCCTAAGCAAGACATCTGTCCTTTAACCAGTTGACATCCGCGGTGTTAAACCCCCTTCCCATCCAGGCCATTTTTCAGTATTCAAGGGGTTTGGTCGGACGCGAACGAGCACATATAGACGATCGGCGGGCTATGGAGCCGCTAATCGCCTATATGTGAAACACCCGGTAACGGGTGTGTCCAATGGTCTTATCTTCCCTGCCCGTGCGTGCCCGCCAGGGGGCGCGCGTGAGCAGAAAAAAATTGCCGTCAGGAGACGGCAACCCGCAAATGCTGCAGTGCGGTCCGTCCGTTTTTTTTTACTACGGGCGAACGGCAAGTGGTAAACATCTGATATAAGTGTAATTGTTTCAATGCAGTTGACATTGAAACAAAGTTAAGCTTTTTTTAGTTTTGGATAAAGTAAGGGAAGGTTATTACCCCAATCAGCTATTTGTTTTTCCATCTGTTAGATTTCTCTTCACTTCCTGTCAAATGACCACCAGGGATTTCACTCGCTTCCTGGTTTGGCTAACAGGGTCACTAGTACTAGTGTCCCCATTTGAAGATTTGTATTGCTGTTCTGAGGAAAACCCAAAACAGGACGAATGAAGAGGGTTAATTGCCCTAACGGGGACAGAGACGGCAATATAAACTCGACAGGTGTTTTGATCACTCTCCATTCTATCCAAAACTAAAAAAAAATACTTTTGGCTTCAGTTGCTGCAAATAGGGAATTGCTTGTATCCAAAGGAAAGGAACAAAAATGGAAAACATGGTGTACAGAACACGAAAGCTACACCCTCTGTGTGATGGCTAAAAGTAAGATGGTTAAAGCTGAATTCCAGGCAAACAGCTAAATATACACCAAACAGCCATAACACTATGACAACCTGCCTCATATTCAGTAGGCCCCCCTTTCGCCGCCAAAACAGCCCTGACCCATCGCGGCATGGGCTCCACTAGTCCTCCGAGGTAGACTTGTGCACGGCACAAAATTTTGTTTCAATTTGCTTTATATTTTGATTTTTTTTCCCGGATCCTTTTGATATATATTCGGATAAATCTGAAGTTTACAGATCTATTTAGATGGAGTTAGGTTATTTTTAAACCACCTACTAGATCCTTGATATGAGCAGCAGCTTAGCAGAGCAGGGAAGGGGGGACGATCATTCACCCCCCTTCACCATACTAGGCCATGCCCTCAACATGGGGAGGGTGCTTCGCCGGGAGGGGGGGGGCCTGGCAAAGCACCTTTTCCCCATGTTGATGAGGACAAGGGCCTCTTCCCCACAACCCTGGGCCAGTGGTCATGGGGGTCTGCTCGTCAGGATCAGACGTGGCAACGGGAAAAATTTTCTTTTCCGAGTCAGCAGCCTTCATCCATTATGACTGACGAGGATCTACATCACTGGACAAGGTGATTGATGAACCTTTTTTTGGGGAATAAAGGACTTGTCAAAATAATTTTTTTTTTCCAAAACAAAGGACATTTGAGTGTGAGTAGGGGTTACAACTACACCTTACTCATTTACAAGGGGAGGCAGGATCTGGGTACCCAGATTCAGATAAGCCCCCCTGTCCGCAGACTCTCACAACCATTGGGCCAGGTTTGTTGGGAAGAGGCCCTTGTCCTCATCAACCCCACGCTATTTATTTGTTTTATTTTCAACTTTCACATTATTAATGGCACTCATCATCAAAAATTTGGATACATTCAAATTCGTTATTTGTTTCATTCAGACGCATCTAAATGTCCGATAATGCTGGATTTTCATCTGAATGATAGTTCGGATGAGAAGGAATGCACATATCTAATCTGAAGGTATTCTGTGGTATCTGGCACCAATCTGCAGTAGTAAATCCTTTAAGTCCTGTACGTTGCGAGGTGGGGCCTCCATGGCCTCGACTTGCTTTTACAGCACATCCCACCGATGCTCAACTGGGTATAGATTTTAATCATTTGGAGGCCAAATCAACACGTTGAACCATTCTTGAACCATTTTTGCAGTGTGGCAGGGCACATCATATTGCTGAAAGAGGTCACCACCATCAGTCAATACCATTTCCATGAAGAGGTGTACTTGTTCAGCAACAATATATTTAAAGTGCTCTGACAATATTAGCAGCCAGCGTGTGCTTTGCATGGTCTGAAATAGTCAACAGCCAACAAAAATGCTGTTATTTTACAGGAATATATATATAATATAGCACAATTTAAGAAGATAATGGAAAGATAAATCATTTTAGTAACCAGATTTAAAACTTTTAGGACAGCAGCACACAAACGATTTGAAGTAGCTAAATGACACCAATATAATCACAACGAATAAAGCAAATGAACAAATAACTCCCTTTAAAGAGGAACGTCACCCTTATCTTTAAAATGACAACAAAGGCTTTAGACATGTTTAGTAATAACAATCTACTTATTGAAAATTGCCGGCTTTTTATACTTTTTTTCCCCTCCCCATTATACTCACAGTGGCCATTTTTACTAAGGGAAGATGAATCCCTCTCCCTTTACCTTCCTGGAACTCTGGCACATGTGACTAGGACATCCGACTGTGACCATGCACATCATCTCAGGATAAAAATGCCTTTCCCTGAGACCTCACAAGATTTTGCAGTTTACATATGAGATTTCTCAGCAATGCACTGTGATGTAACTCTAAGGCATGGGCTACATCACTGAAGCCTAAGGCCCCATTCACATTGAGCGATTCGCATTTTGCGCGATATCGCGCAAATGCTTGCATTGAGCAACTTAGAATCGCTGCAAAATCCGCTCCAAAAAGGGTCCTGCTGTAGCGACGCACGACCCGCGTCAGCGACAGACAGAGCCCCATTGAGATGCATTGGAGAGCAATATCACGCGGTAAATAGCCGCGATATAGCGGGAATTACCGCGCGATAAATCGCTCAGTGTGAACGGGGCCTAAGTGTAAAACCACTAATTCTAAGTAAAAGAAAAATGTTTACTTAACTAATGAACGTAAGAATTTCATATCAGCATGCCAAGCTGAATGCTGATGTGATTTTTAGTGAAGGGGGTAAAAGTCCACTTTAATGTAAGCTACAAGTGGCATGTTGTAGCTACTAAATGAACATGGATCACAGTGCTCCAAATTTGTGTAACTGCAACTACATGCTACATGTGTAGTTTATACCATAGGGTTTCTTTTACGTTTATAGTAAGAAATCACTTGTTGTATTATTGCGCTACTAAAAACCCTGTGTGTTCCTTCTCTTATCGGAAGATTTTGGGGCTTGTAAAAATGTTATAAAGTCTGACCGCACACAGTTCATTCCAGGACGGACCGGAGTGGCTCTGAAGGCAGAGGAGGGCCGACTTTTTTTTTAATTAAAATTGACCTGAACACATAAAAATGAAGATCTGCTATCTTATAGGAAAATCCAAAACTGTGATTGTCCCCAAGTAGTTCCCTGGAAAATGTACCTCTTGTTCTGGAATTCTCTAGTCATAACTGCATATCTGCATTGTAAAATCATCTTAGACACTGACTGATAGTCTTATGGCAATTGGTAGACTTATAACAAAAGAGAATCTGCAAGTCTGGCAATAAAAAGCTTTTTTATTTTTACATTCAGCAGTTTTTTTTTCTGTACACAGAGTCACGCATGCGCAGCTCAGTGATTAGACTCGGCATGCTGAGATGAAGTAACACCTGTGCACATGCGCAGGAATTAGGTCATTGGGGCCCAGCCAATTAAGCAGAAGACTTGAAACCTGGAAGAGGAACAAGCCAAAAATGGAAGAGGGAGGAGGAGAGAAGTACTCGAAGGGATTGGTTTTGCAGGTAAGTCTGCCATAATGGGCTAATAGTACTGGAAGGGATTGGTTTGGCAGGCAAGTCTGCCATAATGGGCTAATACTGTATTTTGTGCATACTAGCATATTATGGCTAAAAAAAAACTTATTTGTAGAAAGAAAAAAAAAAAAAAAAAGCTATTTTTCCTTTTCACCCTCTCCTTGCCTTTTTTTTTTTTTTTTTTTTAAACACAGCTTCCACAGAACAGGTTCCCTTTAGGTCCTACACTAAAAGTATCACCTAAGAGTGTGCATAACAAGGTAAGCACCAATGGACTCAATGCAGCATGGGTAAAAAAAAAAAAACAAAAAAAAAATACACCTTTCATTATATTAACTAGATAAAAGTATTAAAATCAACACATCCATACACCTTCACTGTAAAGCAGGACTCTCCAACTCTACACCACAATAAAGTTGCCCAGACTGATAAAAATTCTAGAACTTGTTTGTTCAACCATTAAAAAAACTCTAGCAGGCTAGAGCCCTACCCACCAAAGCCAGTGCCTTCTTGTCTAAATTCCAGCTCTCCTTTTCCTCATTGGCAGGTGCTGCCCATTGCCAATGTC